CCCTCAGCAGTGTACTTCGTCGATCTGCCTGTTCTGCTCCCACTGCCTCTGGTGAATCCTCTCACCCTCCGCATCTCTAGCCTGTATCCCAGTTCTGTATGAATAAATAAATCTTAAAAAAAAAAAAAAAGAACTTTAAAGCTTGAAACAACAATAAACACTTACTTTCTTTTCAATTTATATGGTCACTAATCCAGGAAAGACTCAGCACTGTGGTCTCATGAAACTGCATTTAAGTTGTCAACTGAGGTTGTATCTCCGAAAGACCCAATTAGAGTTCACATACATGGCTGGCAAGTTGGTCTAGATTTTGGTAGGAGGATTGTGTGACACCCTCATAACTTGATGGCGTGCTCAGCTCAGCGTGTAAGCATAAAGAAAATGCTACAAGGTCTTTTGTGATAAGTCTCCAGAGTCATACTCCATTAATTTTACAATGTCTTATGATAAGACTGCGATCAATATTCTTACTGGTCACACTGGACCCAATATCGGGATTCCATATTCACAGTACTTTAGGGAGTTAATAGCAAGAAATAAGAGTTACAGAGAGCCATTTTGGATACTAGCTACCCCGAAGTCAGTTCATTCATATGCACTGTCTACTAAGGGCCTGAGGACAAGGCAATGAGCAAAACAGACAAACAAGTCCCCTGCTTTTTGAAGCATGCATCCCTGTACAGGCCAGAAAAGCAACAGATCAAATCAATAGGTAAATTATATTGTAGGGTACAACTAGTAAGTGGTATGGAGAAAGGCAAAGTGGGATCAAGAAGGTAGAGGATGGTACTTCAGAGATACCTGAGTAGGCTTCACTGAGGCCTGAAAGAAGAAAGGAAACACAGTGTGTACTTAGATGGAGGAAAAGTGTGCCCAGCATTAGGAACAGCAACTGCAAAGGCCTTGAGGTGGGAATGTGGGCTGTGTGTGAGTACATGAATTGCAAGGCATTCAGTCAAGGTGGCCAGAGGAGCAAAATAAAGGAGCTGACAGTAGGAAATGAGATAAGGTCAATAACAGAGGAAGGCCTGTGTAGGGCATCCAATGGTCCTGTAAGGGCTCTGACTGTTATGCAGTGAGATGGGTAACTACTGGATAGTTTTAGGAGACAACTAATATGATATAACCTAATATTTTTTCAAAGATCTCACTCTGGAAGCTAATACCAGCATTATAGGCAAAAAGTAGGTGCAGCAAAATAAACCTGGAGATTCTTTAAAAATCCAATTATATTCCAGTGGCTTATCTTATACTGCTGTGAATGCAGGTAGTGAGAAGTGGTCAGTTTCTGCACTTATCTACCACAATTAACTCATCCTCCTGAGTAAACCATTTATTATTATTATTGCTGTTGTTGTTGTTGTTGTTATTATTATTTTCCAGTGCTGTGGTTTTCAAATGGTGCCCTACAGGGACCCTACAGGTTCTGAGAAGCTGCCTAGAGATTTGCTTCTAGGAGCTGGAAGGATGGGTAAAGCTTCATGATCCTTGTCCCAGTTTTGTAAGGGCCACTCTGTGTTGACATCCTTCATTATGTGGAGTGAGGGAGATCTTCTTAAGAAAGACTAAACATGCTAATTGCCTGAAAGAAAAGAGAGACCTCTGCCAAAATATACATACACACACCCACATACACAAACTGTATGAAAGAATGCACCATTTATAAGACTCAAAGGCAACTATGAATTAGTTTGTATCCACTACACCACAGATGCAATAAAACTGTAATGTGAAAACAGTTCAATATCCCTAATATAAAAAACAAAACCATAAAATTCTAAAAAGATAACAAAATAAAAAAAAATGGTAAAAGGAAATCTTTAAAATATGGCCCATAATAATACCTCCTTGGTTTATTGTGAGGATAAAATGACAACATAAAGTACTTATTAACATAGTTCCCAGCTGGAATAAATGTCACTGACCACTGCTGCCACCACTATAACCACCACTGTTGTCACCGCTGCCATCACTGAATGATTACCACCACCACAAGGACTACCACTATCAGCAATTTCATCATCATCATATTTCAAGAGCCATTAGCCATGCAAACCCTAGGCAAAACAGAATGCCAATTCCAACTCAGTTTCCCCCAAAGTGAATTCTTCACTCAAAGCCACCAATTACCTTTTCATGATTTTCTATGAGGATCTCAATGACAATGTTCTGAAATTTGATATCCATGATGGCTGCCACTGTTTCTTCTTGAGGCCGCAGGAGGGTGGGTCCAAATACTACCCCGAGGTTTGCCACAGTCATCAGATTCTGCTTGTGGTTGTTAGCAACACTGGGAGGGAGGGAAAAAAAAGAGGCACCGGTTGAGAGGCACAACATGGGAAAAGACAGCTGACTTCCCTGGGCCTCTCCTATCTTCAGACTCTTCACAGGTCAGGCTAGACCTTGCAACAGCATCAAGATGTCCTAGGAGTCCCTAAGAGATTTTTCTAGTCATATTTTCATCTACTGAAATTTCAGAAGTCTCCAGTATTGAAGCCATTTTGTTATTTCAGGATGGGATATTCCTTACCTTTCCCATTTTGCCTAACACAACCAACCAAAGAAACCACCTTCTAAAAAGTGAATCTTTACCATCCAAAGACCTGCTCTGCAAACCCAGGTAACTGCTAATTCCTTAGTTACAACTTTTATATTTGGCTATTGCTTAAAACACTGTGATCATTAGCATTTTTCTTTCATGCAAATATAAAAATTCTCAATAGCTTTAATATAATCACAGGCAGAATAGACCTAATTTTTAAAATGGGTAACTCTGGGCATTTAAAATGAAATTAAGAAATTAGGTACATTAGTTTCTATGCATCAAAGTCCCACATTAAACATGTGTTTTATATTAAGTGAAGATGTAGCATCAACAAATAAAAATGTACTAATGTATGTCCATGTACAGGACTTACATTGCAACTTACAGTCAAAGTCCTTAGATTTTGTGCACATACAATCAACATTAGTTGGGTCTGAGCAATTTGTTAAACACATATGCATATTTTTGGATAAATAACTACTCAAAACATGTATCTGAACTCCACACTCAGACCACCATGACCTAGTTATAACATTCTCATTTGTTCATTTGCTGACTGTATGTAAAAAATATACAAATTGTCTTTTGCCAACAAGTAAGTTAGAAGATTGTTCAGTATTATTAAGACAGTGTCTGGGACTTCTCTAAATCACCTGTTAGTAGAAGGAAACTTCATTACTGGAAACTAGAGAGAATTTGGACAAAAATGGCAGTTTGCACAGACATTCCCCTAGCATTTATCGCTATTTATACTAAGTATTTTTTCATACAATTCTATAAACGTTGGCACTGTTTCTCTTGTATACTTCTATTTTGTAGGAGGTGAAAAGATTCTACTGCCTTAAGTGCTGGTTCTGAAATAGAAACTTCATTGAAATATTACATCAACCAATTTTATCGCAGATGTATACTTTTCTGTAATTTTCTAGGGCTAAGAGTCTAATTTCATGAGGTACTGAAATCTATGAACCCTTAACTGAGGCACAGAACAGTGAAGTTGGGGAACAGGGGAGTGGGGGTTAGGGGGAAATGTTGCTTTTTGATCACCAAGCAACCACTGTAACAAGAAGAGTCACCACTGATATCCTGGCCTGTTTCTGCTTCCCATAAACAAACACTGTTTAAACGTCTACTGATTACTGTAGTTTGCCTCTCTACCCAGAACTATATCATATTTCTAGTATGAAAGCATTAATGCGGATGCTAAAGTTCTTATCCAACAAAGGGGAAAGACATTATCTCTATATCTCCATCAATCAGCAAGTTGTGTATTTACAAGCTGCTTGTAATAACATCACTTTCAACATCAGGTTCGGTGTGCAGGAAGTGAATTCCATGCCCTCAGGCTTCCCCTCTCAAGTGGGCTAAGTCATTAGACTTACTCTTCTTGTCACAAAAATCCCTATGTAAATGAATCAACAAGCTATGTATAAACTTACTTTTAAACTGTAGGTCAGTAAATAAAGATGTTTTGGATGATTATCATTTTTCACTATCATGCTTCTCAACACTATAAACATCTAAGTTCCAACTAGGCACTCTAACTATTATCTCCAAGGTCAACATTATTCTGGCTGCCACCACCAGATAGATATTGTCTACAATTCATCTCTCACCAAGTCATTCCATTGCAAGGACTATAAAGACCTCACATCTTGCTGGGTTGTTTGGGAGAGAACACAAAGACAAGGAGTACTTAAAACATTTAGCAATACTTCTATTGTTTTGACTGTTCTGATAATGATGATTATAAGCCCTTGGTGGGCTCCATTGTTTTTAATATAAAGTCCAAATACTTATGAAATAGCTTACCTTTTCCCAACTTACCCTTAAGGCCTACTCTGCCAACTCCCAGCTGCAGGTCCCTGAGTAAGGGACTCAATATGTCTAAGTCTAAGCTTTGGCCGACCTCCTTATCTCAAAATGGGGAAAGATTGGGGTGAAAAATACACCTACTTCCTGAGGTTGTTGAACAGATTTGATGTGATGACATGCAGAAATGTAGTAATCACTCTATAATACTTTATTATCCATTCTTTTTCCACTTGCACACCTGTGACTTCATCATTCCTCTCTGCCTAGAATGCTCTTACTCTTTCTTTGCTTAGCAAAGTTTTCATAGGCAAGGCCTAGTTCAATGACTGCCTTCCTTTCTGCAGTCTCTGGCTAGTGTTTCTCAATGTTCTACTATTCAGTGAGGACAGAAGTTTTGGCCTGTCCCTGTATTTATTATATTTTATTCATTTATTACTGCCTCAAGGTAGAAACTCTGCTTATCTTAGCTGATCCTTCCACTGCTAAGCACAGTTCTTGGGCCAGAAGAAGTAGAACAAATGCTTGCTGAGGTTTTAAAGACAATAGGAGTTTCTAAATATATGTAAAACAATTATTCTCAATACAGTTACTTACTCACCAAACTTCAAATTATTACTGATGATTTTTGGGGAATGTTTCTCTTCTATACAACTTCCCATTTCACAGTTTGGAGCTGTGCTACATTTCTTAAACTTAAATAATGAGTAATACTTACTCTGATTTGCAGGACCCAGTGCCCAAAGCATTTGTAAAACAAAAAGATATAGTAATTATGGGTAAGCAACTCTGAATATAAATAGACCTGGGGGTACCCAAAATAATTCATTTCCTTTTTAATAACCATTTTACTTTAGAACTTAAAAAACACATTTGTCTAAGTCTTATGAAACTTTTGGGGACAAAATCTGCACCTTTCATTACTAACTACCACTTTCTTTTGGCACACTGAAATAATAAATTGACCTGTCACTTGATTATTACTGCTCACAACTTGGTAGGGCTATGTTCATTACTCTAGAATGAATTATTAATGCCTGGAGGTCTTTACGTATCCTGGAGAGAGAGACCTAGACCTCGCCTCTGCTGGCACCAGCCATCTATCATAGCTTGATGAATTTACAGATGTGTGGGAGGCAGGCTGGCAGAGCACTGGGAAGCAGGGTCCAGCACAGGCCATGGGACCATTCATTAGTGAGGTCTATAAAACACAGAGAGCCAGATTTCTGGGTTGGTAATTGAGCTACTTGGGCTCCTCCTCACACAGTCCAGAATGTCGTGTTGAGTCTTGACTTAAAATCCACACACAAAAGTTTCTTATGTGTTGTACAACCAACTAAGGGAGTTTCTGACATGTCTATCAGATCCTGAGGTCCACATAGACTATTTTGTGGGTACTTCAAGAGGACTGCTAATTCTACAGACCTCCTTTGCAAGCTGCAAAAACAAAACAAAACAGTTCCATACTTAATTTTAACCTGGGGAAGACCCCACTCCATCTGTGACCTTTAAAAGTTTGCTCTGGAGTCCTCCCTGGTGGCGCAGTGGGTTAAAGCACAACACTAAGAAGTTAAAGCCATTTCAACATGGGTTCGATCCCCACCAGCCCCAGAGGTTATCCACATGGCGCAGCAGACCTCTCCTGACCTGCCCACTGCTCCCCTCAACAGTGTACTTAGTCAGTCGGCTTGTTCTGCTCCCTGCTGTCTCTCTGGTGAATCCTCTTGCTGCCCCTGCACCTCTGGCCTGTACCCCAGTTCTGTATGCATAAATAAATAAATCTTTTTTAAAAAAAAAAGTTTGCTCTGGGCCCTCCCTGGTGGCACAGCGGGTGAAAGCACTGCACTAAGAAGCTTAAGCCACTTCCGCCTGCCCCGGAGGTGACCACATGGCGCAGCAGACCTCTCCTGACCCGCCCGCTGCTCCCCTCAGCAGTGTACTTCCTCCATCTGCTTGTTCTTGCTCCCCACTCTGTTTCTGGTGAATCCTTTCACTCTCCGCATCTCTGGCCTGTACCCCAATTCTGTATGAATAAATAAATACATTAAAAAAAAGTTTGCTCTATCTCTCTTATTACAAGTGATGTTGAACATTTTTTTCATATGCCTGTTGGCCATCTGCTTTTCCTCTCTGGAGAAGTGTTTTTTCTAGCTCTTCTGCCCACTTTTTGATGGGATTGTTCACTTTATTTTATTGAATTTCGTCAGCTCTTTGTATATCTTTGTGATCAGTCCTTTATCATTAGTATTCTGTGCAAAAATTTCCTCCCAATCAGTGGGGTGTCTTTTTGTTGTGTAATGTCTCTTTTGCTGTACAGAACCACAAAGAGATACCTTCTCACACCAGTGAGAATGGCGCATATTAAAACAACTAGCAACAACAAATGCTGGCAAGGATGTAGAGAAAAAGGAACTCTCCTGCACTGTTGGTGGGAATGCACACTAGTACAAACACTATGGAAAACTGTTTGGAGGTTTCTTAAAAATGGACCTCCCATATGATCTAGTAATTGCACTCCTAGGTATCTACCCAAAGGTCACAAAAACATTAATTCAAAAGGACACCTGCATCCCTATGTTTATTGCTGCTCTATTTATAACCCAAAAATAAGATGACTGGATCAAGGTGTAGTACATATACACAATGGAATATTACTTAGCAATCAGAAAAGATAAACTCATGCCATCTGTGGCAACATGGATGGAGCTGGAATGGATCATGCTTAGTGAAATAAGCTAGAAAGAAAAAAAAAAATACTGGATAGTTTCACTCCCAACAGGAGTGTAAGAGATCAGGGAGAAAAAAGTTACTGTAATAAACTAAAAATGAAAACTAACTAACAACTATAAGCCAGAGACATTGTATGAAAGTGGAAAGGGCTACAGAATCAAAACTGAGGCAAGAAGAGCACATGGGATTATGATGATGGCACA